ATCGGGCAGTTCAATAGGGGTGTGTGTGGTTAGACGTAGAAGCCTCGATCTCTATTCAGCTGTTCTAATGAAGGGAAACACAGTGAAGTAAACAGTAAAAGGCACAGCTCTTTGCAGCTGGTGCTGCTCTTCTCAGATTCTGCTCAGTTAAACGTTACTGCCTCCAGTGCCCTGTACGACGAAGCCAGTTCAACAGACCATGGATATGTTTGATTTACCCGGCTTAACTAACCCTAACAAACGCGATGTCGATAAGCGGCCCTACGAAGCTGGTTATCAACTCAGCAAATCAACCAGGGTTTCTCTGTCCGGCTGAGAGCGCATTCACCTGAAAGGGACGTGGTTAGCAACATTTGACCAATCACAAACATGGAGACGCGTGCTGACAGCGCAGCGTCATACTTCATGAATGAATAGTGTAAATAGCAAATCCTGCTTCGTAGTACAGGCTAGTGCTGTAGCAACGCGTCGACGACGTTGACGCGTCGACTTCAAAATATCGTCAACGACATATTTCCTCGTCTACGCATCGCCACACACACGTGGGTCACCCAAAACAACAACAAGCAGTTCGCAATCGCACTTTAAACACGATGGAGACTGAAACGGCTACCACCTCCTTCTCACAGGATTGCGCACGAAGCCCTGCAAAAAGCCCCCAAACAAAAACATCTCGCCCTAGGTCTTCAAAAGCATGGGAATACTTTGAATGTAGTCCAAAACGCAAAGGCATTGTTATTTGGAGTCTTTGCCAAATGGAGTTGGCATACCACACTAGCACAACAGCGATGTTGGAGCATTTAAAGCGGAGCCACCCCCTTGTCTCTCTTGGAGGGAACAATGATAAGTAAGTCCTAACTTTGGCTAAATGAATTCCACATTTGTGTAGTGTGTTGTGCAGCTTGAGTTCTGTGCACTTCGGTAGTGCTAACTATCTTATAGCTCTCCGTGCGGTTTGTTCGTGCTTGGTTGGTTAGTAGTTAATGTTAGCTACCTAGCTAGTGGCGCCAGCTGTGTGTTAGATCAGGGGTTCCCAAAGTGGGGGGGGGTTGCGAGATGATTACAAAATAAAAATGGAAAGTTTGGGAACCCCTGTGTTAGATAATGTTTGTCAGCATTTAATGTTGGCTGGAATGGTACCTAGTTTACGTCTGCAGAACACCGCTATCTAGCCGCTACTAACCCGGAACGAACAAACTGCACAGAGAGTTAACTAATGTTGTGGTCGTTCACGAGTCAAACAAAACATTAGACTAACGTTAGTCAGCTTATAGTATCAATGTATGTCAACTAACGGAGCCAAGCAGTGTCCAGGCCAGGGCTGCACGTAAGCTGGTGCGCAGTTGTCATGAATTTCTGTACTGTGCACGGCACAGTGTTTGTTTTTGCACTACATTTTTTATCTTTTGTAATTTTGTAAAGAAGAGATTTTTTGTTGGACTGTAAGAGTAAACAGGCTGGCCTTTTTATTTTGTATAATTTTATTCTATATTTCTTATTTTGCTGTGCAATAAAAAAAAAACTATTATTAAACATTTTTTGGTATTTATTTGAGATACATTATGTTTTTTATTAATCGAACAACAGAAAAATAATCGTTAGATTAGTCGACTAATCGATCAAATAATCGCACGATTAATCGTTTCCCCCCAGCACTAATATTAGCGTAGCCTAATGTTATCTGCAGCCACTGTGCAGAAACACATGAAGTACACCAAAGAGGAGCACTCACCCCAGATCACCTTTCCTCCTTGTGTAACCAGGCCCAGCTCGCTGACATTGACCTCCACCACTGTTCCTTTTGTGATGACTCCCAGGGCGGTGTAGAGGGGGGAGGAGGGGTTCTTCTTCACTCCCAGGATGGGAAGGCAGAATGTGGCTTTCAGCTCTGGATGTGTGACGTGAGCTTTCTTAAAACGCAAACCCTAAAGTAGATTCAAGAGATAGATGTTATTTAGGAGTTAGGAACGTAATTAAAACAGACATTGAAGCCTGAACTCATGTTAGCATAGAGTTGCGTGTGTTAGTTCAAGTAAAAAGCAATAAAAAAATTCCAATGACACTGCGATCTTACCATGGGTCTGATGAAACGCTCATATTTGGGGGGTTTACGGGTGAAGCCGTCTCCGACAAAGCAAACTTTGGTGACCATTCTCTTCCAGGCTTTCTTTTGTCTCTTTCCAGTTTTGATGACTTTAAGTACTTCTGTCTCTCCCTGGGCACGCACCTTTGGCAGGGGCACCTCCCATTTGCCCTGCAGAAAACATACACAAGATATTTGTGATTAGAAACCAATTACAACATATCCCAATGTTAACACATTCTGATACAGGGACTGCAGACATACAGATGTGATGTGGTACTTACAGCCTTCTCTTTCCTCTTCTGTTTGATCATGTTGGAGAGGACCTTTGCTCGGGACTGTCCCTCTCGGTCCAGCAGGTAGGCTGGCACTGCTCCCTCTGGGGTCTTATCGTCGTTCTTCTGCTTGGTTCTCCTCTGTTCATGCATTTTGAGGCTGCAAAAATACAAGTCAGAATTGTTTAGCTGCTCATTTGGTATAGTTTTCATGGTTCGTTTTTTAAGAGAGCCAGCATATACAAAAAAAAAAATTAAACTCACGTCTTCTTCATCTGGATCTTCTCTGAATGTCTCTGCTTGTTGTACAGTTTGGCCTTCAATCCAATCAGCGTCCTGGCTTTGTGGGAACGCGTATGGGCCTCACGGCTCTCCTTCTTCCTTTTCCTTTCATCGTGGTCCAAGCGGCGGCCATGCCGCTTGCGATGTAACTCAATGTGCTCGTTCTGGGGCTAAAAAAGAAAAGAAAAAGGATAAATGCAAAGGCTTGGAGCAGAAATCTACAGTGCTCAGTTACGAGTAAAAAACACATTACTCCAGCATTGTCTCTTACATGGGGCGCTGCATTCATTTGTATAGGCTTTCATTATTCGGAAAGTGGCTCATTTCCATATATCAATGATCTTTTTAAAGCGAACTAAGTATATCTATTTAAAATGCATTGATCTTTCCCGTCATTTTTTAGCACATATATCAAACTATGTCTGGTTCTCTCTATTATATATAATTGCAAATTGATTACATTTGGGTTTGGGTTTATGGTGGTAAAATATCAATTTTAAGACGTCATTTCGGGCTCTAGGTAATCATACATTTGGCACGCTGATCAATTATTAAAATATGTTACTTGCAGCCGTAAATCTAACAATTCCACGTTTAATCGTGTAAATACAAAAAAAGCGAACAGAAACAATTAAGCCAGAGTAGCACTTTAGAATATTACACGTTCATTTAAATTGCAAAATGACCTATTATTCAATTATAAATTAGGTCTACACTCGGCAAAAACGCAATGGCCATTCCCACTACATTTCAACTTCGAAGCATTTGCGTTACTATTAACACCGCAAGGACAACCAAGACTAAAGATCCCTCAAAAAGATTCACAACATAAACAAGTGCATGCTCATACAATCGTTACTTCAACTGCATCTTTGTATTTAGCAGGCTCATAATTGTAATATTAACAATATAAACAACACCAGGTCAGAGCAGCACGTCACCAAGCCACATGTGAACTGGTGCTAACCGCTAGCACGATATGCTAACCTGTTAAAATGACTGATAAAATAACTACTGTGCTATAAAAAACGGTTGTTTTCATACCATTTTGTGTTGGTGGTGTTAAGTCTTTCGGGGAATACTTCGCAGGTGGTGCCAGTCGGTAAAGACGCGAGTATTTTGTGTTTTCGCTTAAGGCTGGGGTCGTTTCGATGTTGTTTCCCCGTAGCCGATACTTAGAGGAAGTACGTCATACGGAAGAAACGGTTTGTCCGTTCGTCTAAAGTGAACGTTTTCCATTTCTTACTGTGTCACTTGACCGTGTTAAAGACGATAAATAAATAATATAATTAGATAAAAAACTTGTAAGCACTTGATAGATCAGTCATTCTTTATTAAAGATACAAATTACATATAACAGCTAGTACTGCGTTACACTTTTTTTTAAATAAAGACATAAATATAGTGACGGAACCAGCTGTAACCGGGAATAATCACGCTTGTTTCTAGGGATGTATTTTCAAGCCGTACTTTATGAAATCGTGACATTTGATAACAGATTATGGTTTTTGTAGCACAATTGAATGCTTGAGAGTGGGATATATTTTTGTATTAATGTACTGGTTATAGCCATACGTATCGGCCTGTTGTTACTGTTGTGTTAGTGAGTGTCACTCCACTATGGTTCGTCCAAAACTAGCACACATTATGTGGAAAGACCTTGGAAGATAAAATAAGACATTAAAGCCTGTGGGACATTTAACAGGATGATTTGGGTAAGATATAATACGTCAAACTAAGTGCTTTCTGTAATAAATATTCCTAATATCCTGTTGACTTGAAGACAAGCTTATTTGAATTCACAGGGAAGGTTTGTATTAACTGCTGGGCTCCAGTGCTGCAGATGTAGAGTGAGCTGTCATGTACGAAGACACTACAGAATTCTTCCAGGTACGTTTAAATACAAATAAAGCGTCACCTATCGAAAGTAAAATGTTGGTAAAAGTATTCAGTATGCAGAAAAGCTAGTGATGTACAGGTTTTTGGAGTCTTATTAGTCCTACATTAATGTGTATGATGTGTTATCTCTTTTATACATCATTGGGTGTTTTTTGTTCCATTATATATTTATTGTTCGTAGATTTACGCTGTCCTGTGATAACCACCTATATATAAAAAAACTAGTTTATTTCAATCAATAGGATACGGCTGTAATAGGCCTAAGGCCTTTTAGTCGCTCATAAATAAATAAGTAGATCACTGATACTTTATTTACTATGGATGCTGGCAACAGTCACATAGTCCAAAGTGAAGGTGATGTTTGACCAGTAATGGTCGAGGCGCGATTTGAGACAGCTAACCGTCTTGGATGTGACAACGCTTTCTGACAGATCATTCCACAAGTCAACCACACGCAGGCTGAAAAAGTTGCGGCGGATAGCCAGTCTTGAGTACTGTTTCTTCAACTTGAGGCAGTGTCCGTGAGTCCTGGTGTTATAATCCCGTTGTAGTGGGCATGATGTTTTGTAGATGTTGAGGAGATATTTGAAACCTTCGATCATATCTCCCCTCGCCCTTCTATAATACATACTCGGGATTTTAAGACTTTGCAGTCGTTCTTGATATGGTAGGTCCTTTAGTTCTGGAACCAGCTTCGTTGCCCTTCTCTGTATTTTCTCGATGAGCTCAGCATCCTTTTTGTACATGGGGGACCAAGCGACATTCCCATACTCCAGGAGTGGCCGTACAAGAGAGATGTATAAACTACATACTACGTCAGAGTCCAAATAAGTGTATGATCTGCGGATCATTGCTAGGATACCATTCGCTTTATTACTTGCCCGACGGATATGGTCACTAAATGTCAGGGTATTATTTGTTTATGAATAGTTTATTTATCTTAAAAGTAGGGGACTTTCACAATACATAGAGGAACACAACCTTCATTTTGATAATAATAATAATACATTTTATTTTGGGGGGCACCTTTCAAAACACCCAAGGAGACCTTACAGGGCATAGGGGCAATATAGGGAACAATTAAAACAGTGGATTTAGTGAAATATCAGCCGGGGTAAGACAAGACAAACAACAGGAAATGGACTATAGAAGGACACAAAAGGACACAGGGTACAGTTTATAAAGAAAATGCCAGTTTGAACAGGTGGGTTTTGAATGGTGGGTTTTGAATGTTGTTATGGAATCAGACTGTCGGATGTGTAGTGGCAGGGAGTTCCAGAGTAATTTAATCAGAATCAGGAGAGACAAGTTTTGTGATATAATACAATATATATTTATTGCCAGGAATACACAGATGAGTTAAATGGTGTTTGGCGATTAGACCCCCGCTGTGTGGGAGCATCACTCGTGAGGGGAGAACCGAGCCGATAAACCCCCCCGGATCTAGACACTGGTGGTGGTGGAGCATTGTCTGAAGAGGAGTGGTTTATCTTGACCCTGGATTGGGAGGGACGGGGGGTGAAAGTGGAGGAGGGTTGCGTGGAGTAACCTGGAATGACAGCTGTCAGAGGGGAGAGAGCAGATAGAAAGGTTTAGCAGAGTGCTATGATAGGCTTGTGGGAATAGAGTGAAGTGATTGGTTTAGCTGGGGAGTTTACCCCGATCACTGATTGAGAGGGGAGAGAGTAGTAAGATGTGAATATGTGAATGAATGAGTAAAGACGGTCTTCCTGGTTGAACTTGCCTTAAGCTTCGTGTGGCATTTCACATCAATATGAACACGTTGCTGATTCAGGCCCATCCTCATAGCTGTGCTTTGTGTTGTGATAGATGACGTCAAATCGCTGCGGGCTGTGGTCAACCCTGATGTATCCAAGTAGGTTATTTAATTCTGCTTTAAGCCTTTAAATGCTCTTTAGACTCAGCTGTGTTTGGGCTCTGTGTTAACTTGCTCATCCATATCTGCAGAATCCGAAACATCGGCATCATGGCTCACATCGACGCAGGAAAAACAACGACCACAGAAAGGATGCTCTATTACTCTGGCTATACGAGAGCGCTAGGAGGTGAGTGTGATGGCTACAAAAGTGTGGATTTCGTACCTGATTGTTTCCATCTTTCTTTTACATTTCTGCTGCTTGTTTTTTCCAGATGTGGATGACGGGGATACAGTCACAGATTTCATGGCTCAGGAAAGGGAGCGTGGCATCACCATACAGGCGGCAGCTGTCACATTTGAATGGAAAACTCATAGAATAAACCTCATAGATACACCAGGTAGAACAAGTGTTTATGTGAGAATGAAACACTCCGATGGAAATGAGAATGGCAGCCACTGAAATATGATTGTGTGTGTGATTACAGGACATGTAGACTTCACTCTGGAGGTAGAGCGGGCTCTTCGTGTTCTCGATGGAGCTGTTGCAGTGTTTGATGCTTCTGCCGGGGTTGAGGTGAGCCCTCAAGCCCTATTTATAATTTGGTGAAATCTGAACCAGAACCGCTACGATTAGTCAACCAGTTGGAAAGTATTTTGATATGAATTGTTACAGCTATTTTGAAATAAAGTCACATGAAATGCTGTTTCAGCCTCTTAAATATGATGATTACCTACTTTTTAAAATCATATGAAGGCAAATATCTTTGGGGTTTGACTCACAAAACAGGACATTTAAAGAAATCATCTTTGAGAATCTAGGATGGACATTTTTCACAGTTTTTTGCCTTTTTCTTTGATCTGACAACTAATCAATTAAAAATAAAATAGGTGGATTCATCAATGATAAATCCTTACCATCAGCCCTGCTCTGAACACATTTTCTTCTGTTGCTTTGACAACAGGCTCAGACTCTGACCGTGTGGAGGCAGGCAGAGAAGCACCACGTGCCCTGTGTTTGTTTCCTGAATAAGATGGATAAGCCCGCAGCAAGGTGAGTGACTCATCAGTCCTAATATGAACACATTTAAAAAAATGTTTTATAACGATTTCAGTTGATATCTTCTTTCAATTTCTCACACAGCCTAAGTTTTTCCATAGAGAGCATTAAAAAGAAGTTGAAAGCCAATCCAGTCCTCCTTCAAGTAAGCCTTTGAAGCTTTATTTGAAAAACCTCATACAATGATTTTTTTCTGATTATGCAGAAATCCCCATTTGAAGAATCATACTTATCACGGTAATGAGTTAGAATGATTGATGTGTACATCACGTTAATGTAGCAGATACATAATATCAGAATATATCGCAATTTTTGTGCTTATTTTTGATGTTGTGGTGACAATCCTATTATGGAATCATACTATAGAAACGTATCAAATGAATGAAGCAAAGTATAATATCTTCTTCTTAAATGAAGTGAAGTATCATAACATGTTAATAATATGTACTTCCTGTTTCCCAGATTCCTGTCGGCAGCGGGAAAGACTTCTCCGGTGTGGTGGACTTGTTGACCAATCAGAAATTGATATGGAAACACAAAACGATGAGAGATGAGGAAGATGGTCGGACCTTTGAAATCACACCTCTGGACGAGTCGGAGGAACCAGAGCTCCTGCAGGAGGTCAGCGAGGCCCGGACGGCTTTAATCGAGCAGGTGTGTTTCAGAACATTTAGAACAGGGGGCCACACCTTGTTGATTGTGATCCAAATAGAAAAACATACAGGGAGCCACAGTCCAAACAACAATAAAAGCATTGATTTGAAGCAGATACACTCCATTGGAATCTGTGTTTCTAGAGCAGTAAAAGAAAGAAATCTATCAAACTTACTACCTAACAATATGACACAGTTTAACGTTTGATAGGTCAGTATTTTATTTGTGTGACCACATATTACAAAGAGTATTCCTGTATCCTGTTCTTTTCTTTTCACTATATCTGTAAAGTGTTTTTGAGCACCTGTAAAAGCGCTAACAAAATAAATCTATTATTATTTGCTGCTTTTAAATTGAATGTAAATCAAATCAATACGTTTCTATTTGAATGAAATGCATGTTTTAAAAATGATATGTTTATGGTCTAACTAGTAAATCTGGATATCTAATATTAATATTTAAAAAAAGTCAGGAAGAAATAATACAGTATTGTTTCGTGGGACATAAGGTTAGGAGAGAGATCATTTAACAGATTTTTGTCAGCTTTTCAATTTAAACTACAATATGTAAGTTATTGGAAATAACCCAAAAGTAATTTATGAATTATTTGTAAAATCTCACCAGTTTGTCAAATCTCCAATTTCTCAATCACAGGTTGCTGATCTGGACGATGAGTTTGCTGATTTGCTGCTGACTGATTTTGGTGA